TCTGCCCACCTGCCCGCCGTCCTCTGGGAGGGCAGGATTACAAGCCTATTTCCGAGAAGTTCAATTTAGCTCTAAATTTCAGTTTCCCCCAGCTGTCTGAATCAACAACTAAATATTAACTCTTTAAGAGGGGCTTTTGTGAAGTAATATTTACAACTGAACAATCATCAATACATTTACTGTTTGCCAACTCAGAATTGCTGTGGGAAAGAGAAAGGTATACTATAACTATTTTCATTTTCCAATATTTCTACTTTGGGCAGTGAAATGCTAAGAATGAACATTTCCAGGTCCCAAATAACCACCTGCCACCTTCCAAGTCCCAAATCCACCTGCTGGCACTGGTAACTACTATTTATTGCATGTCCACTGTGCACTGTGCACCAGGAACCACCACGCCCTGCATATGCCTATCCTCCTTTATACTAGCGGCGACACTGCAGCCAGGGAGCACTCACAGAGAGCACATGTGCCAGGCACTGTGCAGGTGCTGAGGACAAAACAATGAACCCCACAACTGCCAGCCCTTAGGTGGTTTACAATCAAGTGGTAAGCAGATCAATAAAAAAATCCCATGGATGTGAATTAAACAACACAATACAGTGCAGTCATTTGGAACAGGCCACTGTGGACAAGGAAAGTGAGAGCATTCGGCATTAGAAAATGCCTTTGCTCAAGGTCAGAAGGCAGGTTGGGGCAGAACTCCGGCTGAAACTCTCAGGATCACACTCGAGCCACTGCCTCCTCCCACTTCTCATCTTTTTTTTTGGGGGGGGGGGCCTGCTAAAACTCACTATGGTAATGCAAATGAGTCAGATTCCTTGACCACGAAAAGCATCCATTATTGTAAAAAACATTTTCTTATGTTTGGGGTTTGTCCTGAGAGCTATCAAAAAACAAAAACCAGAACTACAAGTCAGACAGTATAATGGTCCTCTCATCGGGTACAAGTCCCGCACTGTCTCAAATCACTAGAGAGGCTTCTCTAGCAGGCATAAAGTGCTCTGTAGGGTGACAGCAGGTAGAGGCTGTGAGATTCACGTTTTTCACACTGGCATCCTGCCTCTGCGGCTTTTCAACCCCCCAGGTGTATGACATGGAAGCACACGTAAATGACCTAAATGACAGTTAACAGTTTGCTTTAAATTCGTCTCTGGAATGCACCCTGGGCCTGACCTTCCTATTCATGATCATCTTTGGCTCTAGTTAAAGTCTTATTCTCTGGAGCACCTAACACAGGGGCATCTGGGAGAAATCAGGGGCCACCCTGGGCTGCCCCAATTGCCTGTAGCAAATCCACATGATGATATGCCTGGGATTCCCATTTACTTGTCCCTAAAGTAGACTGTGCTACTTGCCCTAAAACCTGAGGCGATCATTCATCCACCAAGATTTCACAACCACATTGAATGTGGGATGCAGATCAGGGTCATGCTGGTGGCCTGGGATTCTTTTTCTTTTTTTTTTTTTGAAATGGGGGTTTTGAAATGTCACCAGGCTGGAGTGCAGTGGTGCAATCTCAACTCACTGCCATCTCCGTCTCCTAGGTTCAAGCAATCCTCCCACCTCAGCCTCCTGAGTAGCTGGGACTACATATGCACGTCACCATGCCTGGCTAATTTTCTGTATTTTTGGTAGAGATGGGGTTTTGCCATGTTGCCTAGGCTGGTCTTGGTCTCAAACTCTTGAGCTCAAGTGATCTGCCTGCCTCAGCCTCCCAAAGTGCTGGGATTACAAGTGTGAGCCATTGCACCCAGCCTTACTGGGAATCTTTAATTCCAGTTCCTAAACACTGTTTTATAATCCCATTTCCAAAATGTAAGCAACCTCTCAAGACAAAGACAAACAGAACAACTGTGAAGGACCACTCCCCAGCTCTGTTATTTTGACTCCTCAGCGGGGCATGGTACGATATGAAAAATGGCTTTTCCTTCTGAGACAGACTTTGAACTGGGGAGACAAACTCAGTCCCTGGGTCTATCAGCCCAAATAAACAAAACACTATGTGCCAAAGATGTGCTCCTGGTTAATGGGACCTGTGAAGATTTAAAAAACCACGAGCCATGAGTTGTTCTGTTCTTCTTCTTTGTTTTTTTTAATCTCCAATTCACGGGGGATCTTGAAATCACCAACAGTGGTCTTATCACTCCTCTCATTTAAATTACTGAACACAACTAAACAAAACAAAATGAAACATAGAACCTTTCCTTTTGTCTACACACCCAGCCGCTTCCAATGAAAATTTTCCGATTTTTTAACTCATGGTTTTCCAAGGAGAACCAGAGACAATCCAAAAGTAAGTAAATACATTAAATTTCTAAAAGTGGTGCTTTTAAGTAGCTGGATCAATGCTGATTTTCTCCTGGGTGGCTGGAGACACCAGCACACACGGTGCTGAACTCAGAAGCGTGCTGCATCTTGGTCAGCTTCAGTAAATACCAGTGTCTGCTAAGGCTCATTCTGAAGGACACAGTACAAAGTCAGAACTGGTTATTTATTTATTTTTGAGACAGAATCTTGCTCTGTTGCCCAGGCTGGAGTGCAGTGGTGCAATCTCAGCTCACTGCAACCTCTGCCTCTCGGGTTTGAGCAATTATCCTGCCTCAGCCTCCTGAGTAGCTAGGATTACAGGCGGCTAATTTTTTTGCATTTTTTGGTAGAGATGGAGTTTCACCATGTTGGCCAGGTTGGTCTTGAACTCCTGACCTCGTGATCCATCCGCCCCAGCCTCCCAAAGTACCTGGGAGGGTCATGCTGGTGGCCTGGGATTCTTTTTTTTTTTGAAATGGGGGTTTTGCTCTGTCACCAGGCTGGAGTGCAGTGGTGCAATCTCAATTCACTGCAACTTCCGCCTCCTACGTTCAAGCAATCCTCCCACCTCAGCCTCCTGAGTAGCTGGTACTACTATTTTAGCATGACTATTCAAAAGTGCTGGGATTATAGGCGTGAGCCACCAGACCGGCCTGGTTCCTTATTTTAACGTGTAAAAATACTGAAACAAAGTGTAACAAATCTCATATATCGATGACATGGACTCTAACACTTGTTAAGCTTACCCCTTTTTGCTTATCTTAGGTCCCCATTTATTTATACAGTGTATTTTGCTGAACCATTTTGTTATTTTTATTTTTATTTTTTTCTTTTTCAAGACAGAGTCCCACTCTGTTGCCCAGGCTGAAGTGCAGTGGCATGACCTTAGCTCACTGCAACCTCCGCCTCCTGGGCTCAAGCAATTATCTCGCGTGAGTGCTCAGCCTCCCGAGTAGCTGGGATTACAGATGTGTACCACCAAGCCCAGCTAATATTTGTATTTTAGTAGAGACAGAGTTTCACCATGTTGGCCAGGCTGGTCTTAAACTCCTGGCCTCATGTGATCTGCCTGCCTCGGCCTCCCAAAGTGCTAAGATTACAGTATTGTTTTTAATTGGAAAAAAAGGCATACAAATTTACTAAGGTGTACACAGAGTAACCAGAGAATGATTGTGATTTTAGAGAGTAAATGATAGGCAGCATAGCTCTTCACCCCTAAATATTTCAGCATGACTATTCAAAAAAAGCACATACTCCTACATGACTCAGCACCATATCACACAAAATCACATGAGCAACAGTTCCTTATTCTAATCTACCATGGAGTTCATATTCAAATTTTCCAAACTGTCCCCCACTGTCTCTAATTGTTCAAACCAGGATCTAATCAAGGAATGCTAAGGAGCACCCTTTCCAAAGTAACATGTCAGACAAAAGAATGACTCAGGGACAGTCAGAAGGGCTTGAACCTGACAGTAAATTAGCATCCAACCTACCTTCTTTTAGAAAGAAAAAGATCTATCATTTGACAAACAACAACTGCTCTTAACATTTCCACAAATTTTCTTCCAGCTAGTTTTTCTTTTCATAAACACATTCCTAATACATGCAGTTGTGAACTACCTGTCTTGCTACAGATCAAATGCTACTGCAACTTCTTCTGGCAAGAGGAGGCAAAGACCTGGTGAAGTTCTGCACATGTCATCTCTGGTATGTCTGCTGGCTGGCCAGCCTCCTGGGTCAATAAGTCAATAACTATGAAAAAAGGCTGCTGAGTGGTCAGAAGACTGTCCTGCACGGAGACACTATTAAAGGTCCTGGATTTCCAAATGTACCACTGAACTGCTCCATGGCCCTGCCAACTTCCTCCTCCTCCAGCTGACATGATCCCAAGCCCTAGAGAGACAGAGCAGGTGTTAGGAGAGGCTGCTGTCCCACTTCCTGGGTGTCCAGGATGGATAAACGTAAGATTTTACAGAAAGTACTTTGGAACTTTTGGAAGTGCTATATATTTAAAGGCTGTTAGTAACGTTCTCTAAACCAAAAATATCACAAAAGCCTCAAACTCCTAGATACCAAAGCTTTGACTTGGAACATTTATTTTACTTTATTTCATTTTTTTGAGACAGTTTCAATTTGTCACCCAGGCTAAAGTGCAGTGGCATGATCTCAGCTACTGCAACCTCCCAATTCCGGGTTCAAGTGATTCTCCTGTCTCAGCCTCCTGAGTAGCTGGGTCTAAAAGTACCCACCACCATGCCCGACTACTTTTTATATTATTAGTAGAGATGGGGTTTCGCCATGTTGGCCAGGCTGGACTCGAACTCCTGACCTCAAGTGATCTGCCCGCCTCGGTTTCCCAAAGTGCTGGGATTACAGATGTGAGTCCCCACACGCGGCTGACTTGGAATATTTCATAAAAAGTAAAAATTTTCAATAGACACATACTGCCCTGAATGAAATATCTCAAGCTGAACTAAACCCTCAGCCAAACCAAGCCATGATATTGAGAGAGGAATCACCTTATTCCTTAGGAGAACTGTGAATTTTCTTGAAACCATGTTGGACTGCCAGTGCTTTCTGCTTTGGAAGGTGATTCCCCAAGCACTTCGGCTCTGGTGCTTGGCCAGTCTCTCAGAGAAGACTGCCTCCTTGCTTCTTCCTGGAAAGGAAGCCCAGGGCTTTCTTACCTTGTTTCCAGGGGTACAGATGGCTTCGTTTCAAGGGCTTCTGTTTTTCAATAGCATTGCCCATTTTAAAGCCAGAGGATCACAGGGCCCTCCCGAGCCCGGCGTCTTTCCTGAATGGCAATTGAGGGCCGAGTCACTGGCTGGAAGGGGATCATCTCTTGGACATCCCACACCACCCAGCGCCAGAGCCCATGTAGCCCTCACAAGGAAAGCTTGAGAAATTTCACTTTGAACAGTCTTTGCCTTCTGCCTTTCAAAATCCCTTTGGCTTCAGGGAGGAAATCAGAAGAAAAGGCTTGTTATCGCCCTACCGGTGCATCTCAGTAATGGTCTATATTAAGAAGCTGTTCCTCGGCATTCTTTTGACACTTTATTACTCATCAGCATAGCAGCAGCTCGGAGGGTGAATTTTATTTCCAGATACTTTTAATACCACTTTTCCCCATGGGAGAAGTGGGGAATCAGGTGATCAAAAAGCTGAAAGTCATAAATGAACCATTCTGCAGCATGCCAGGAGAAACATTTTCACACAGTCCCTTATGCCACACCTTCTATTTCAGAGTCCCATGCTCACACCAGTGTGCACCATGCAACAAGTACTGTCAGAGAAAACAAGCTGATTTCACTAATACTGTGTTTCCAAGGGAAACACAAAACAAAACATCAAAACACATGCTACACCTCAGTCTCCAAAGAAGAAAACACCATGGGGACAAACACAGCTAAAAATCTATAGCCTCAAGTTCCAGACTTCCACTGCACTTTGGGAACAATTTTGCTGGAGAAAGGGCTACACTACACAAATTCTGAACAATGGGTTTTCTGGAAGAAAAGAAGGGAATGAAATCAATCATATATTCTTGGTAAAAAGGAAGACAACGCTGAGGTAGATGAAAGGATTTCATTTATTTCAATCCCAGAGTTTGAGGTTATCAGAACTCCTAAAGAATCCCCATAGCATAATATGGGTAAGAACGCAGGCTCTGGGCCGAGCTAGGTGACTCATGCCTGTAATCCCAGCACTTTGGGAGGCTGAGGTGGGTGGATCACCTGAGGCTGGGAGTTCAAAACTAGACTGGCCAACATGGTGAAATCCTGTCTCTACTAACAATACAAAAATTATCCAGGCATGGTGGCACTAAGCTGTAATCCCAGCTACATGGGGGACTGAGGAAGGAGAATCACTTGAACCCAGGTGCCGGAGGTTGCAGTAAGCCAAGATCACGCCACGGCACTCCAGCCTGGGTGGCAAAGCGAGACTATGTCTCCAAGAAAAAAAAAAAAAGAAGAAGAATGCATGCTTTGGAGCCCAAACACCTGGGTGCAAATCCTGGCTCTGCCAACTGAGAACAGCAGCCTCAGTTTCCCTATCTGTTAACTGGGCATAATTCCAGTTCCACCTCCTCAGCTGTAAGAACATTTGTGAAGTATTTAGCATGCTGCCTGAAACTCAGGAAGTCCTTGGTGAATATTTTTCTTTTTTTGCAGACAGGGTCTTGCTGTGTCACCCTGGGTGAAGTGTGGTGGCACAATCATGCAGGCCCAAGCAATCCTCCTGCCTGGGCCTCCCAAGAAGCTAGGACTACAGGTGCATGCCACCTCGCCTGGCTAATTTTTAAAGTTTCTCGTAGAGACAGGGTCTCCCTATGTTGCCCAGGCTGATCTCAAACTCCTGGCCTCAAGTGACCCTCCTGCCTCAGCCTCCCAAAGTCCTGGGTTTACAGATGTGAGCCACTGTACTCCACCTATTTTCATATGAAAAGATGAAATATTTCACTTATGAAACGCTTCCTATTTTGATCTACCAATACAGAGATAATTTTTGCAAAATCACAGTCAAGATTCCAAACTCGGCAAAGCAAATAGCACGTGTCTGTCACACCGTCGCCAGTGAGGCAACAGGAAAGAGCAAGCGTGCAGAGGCTCCCCATTTCCCTCACAGAGCCCTCAGGCTCCTCCCCAGATTAAACTGCAGCCACAAACTGGAACAAAGCACAGGGAACCCCCCACCACACCAGAGGGGTCCTGTGAAACCTAACAGTTGCACAGCAGAATACTGAGTACACAGTAGGTACTTAATAACTCGGTTGAACAAATGGGTGGATAGGTGATGAAATAAACCAATGAGAATTATCCCCAACATACACACACTGATTGTTCCCACCCCCTGGAATGTGTTAGCCAAGTTTCTAATCCATAAGTAAACTCTCCTCTCCAAGCAAGAGTCAGAGGGTGTGGGCAGCTGAGGCGCCTTTTCCTCCACGTCCCCACCCCTCCCCAGCCCTGGAGTTTCCTTCCTATCAGTGTGCAAAGCCCCTGAAGTCAGCAGCCATGCCTGGGGCAGCTCCTCTCGATGCCTGTGCACACACAGAACAATGGCTCATAGTTACAGAACCCCGGCTCTGGTGTTTCTTAGCTGGGGGTCAACACATTTGTAATGGTGTTTCCAGAAGAAAATGCATCCTAGGTTCCAAACAACTAATTTATGAACAAACATTTAGCATGAACCGGACATTTCCCTGAGAGAACAGCACTGAAACAAGACCCCTGTGGTCCAACCGCTTCTCAGGTAATCATGTCTATCCCCCTGGCCCACACACTTATTCCAATGGAATTGTTCAGAGGGAAAGGAACAGAATAATCTAATCTTAAGAATTCCTCTCTAATCCCCAGCTGAGAAAGTGTCTTTTATAGTCATCCCTTCTGCAATGCACCAGACTAAGCAAAAAAAAAAAATTGAGCCATCCCCCAAAGACCAATATGCTTGCAATGGAAGATGGGCAAGTGACCCATCTCCAGCCCACATTTCAGGGAGACAACACAAACCTTTTTTGATTCTTCACAAATGGGAAGAATCAAAAGTGAACTGTTACCAGAAGCAGAAGGCTGATTGCACAGCCACTGTGATGAGTTTCTAAGCCTTGCACAAGTATGTAGAGAATGCTGTGACTGTACGAACTGCCCTCAATCAGACCCGATTTGACCATGTGTTATCAAGGTCACTCCTTCACGTATGACTACTACAAGCCCCAAATCTCTGTAAAACCCAAGCAGATTCACAAGATCATCTCCTCCAACGAGCCCCTCCCCCATTTCAGATTCCTCAGAGACGGATAGGGATCAAGGCTGGGCTTAGTTTGAAGGCCAGATCCAGCTCCCAAATCTTTATCCTTGGCTAGGAAAACCTCTGCTGCCCATTTTCCCATGACCAGAAAAGGCAGGAGGGCAGTGTGAAGGAACTGGCTTTGAAGGCCAGCTGGCCTAGTTTGTATCTATGTGAGCAACTTTGGGATAGAATCTTCCCCTCTCCTCACGTATTTTCACATACATTCATGTGTACAATTACACTATCCACTTCATAGGGCAGTTTAAAGGTTAAATAAGATATTTAGACTTGGGAGGCTGATGTGGGAGGTTGAGGCAGGAAAATCATTTGAGCCCAGGAGGTCAGGACTGCAGTGATTTGTGACTGCACACTGCACTCCAGTCTGGGCCACAGAGTGAGACCCCAACTTTAAAAAAATAAAATAAAGATGTTTAAAATTTGTTGGTACATAGCAGACAATGAGAATAGCTACTATTGATCTTTTTATTATTATTATCATCTATAAATCTCTAAGCTTTAGATACAATACATTGAAAAAAATTATTGACCCTCACTAGGGATCTTCTCCCCCATCTCAGAGTAAGATCCATTACAATATTCTGTTGAATAATTCATTCTCTTACTATAATTAAAATAAAATTTATCTTACAAACATCTGTACCTCAGGATTTTTTTTTTTTTAAGAGACAGGGCCTCCTTATATTGCCCAGCTGGCCTCGAACTACTGGGCTCAAGTGATCCTCCTGCCTCAGCCTCCCAGGTAGCTGGACTACAGAAGGAATAATATTTTGATTGTGGGACATGACATAAGCCAGAGAGGTAATATAGCCGCCACTGAAGCATGAAACATTTAAAGGAATGCCTGCCCCTACATGCAAGAGGCTGTTGGCTTCAGACGAACTCTGATCGAAGTCAGAATCCTTCAAGGCGTTGCTCACTTCTTGAAGACGATTTTTTTTCTTAAGATAGAAATGTCTCAGAAGGGAAGGACTGGTGGATCCCTGTAATGTGGACATTCACCCACCCAGAACCAAAGAAACAGAGGCTGGGCTCTCAGGCGGGTACCCGGTAGCTGACACAAACCTTTGTGTATGGAATTTGTCTGCTGGGAGGAAAGTCTGATGTTGGTCACTTCCCTCCTGGAGAAAAATACAACAATAAGAGGAAGCGCCAAGCACTGTGGGAACGTTCCAAGTAGGAGTTCCAGCTCAGCCCAGAACATAAACAAAGGCGATGACCAGCCTGGAGGTCAGGCCCAGCAGAGCACTGAGGCAGAAAGTCTGGGTCAGACTCTCTATCTTCTGGGTCCTCTAGACTCTGCCTTTTTTTGAGACAGAGCCTCTGTTGTTCAGGCTGGAGTGAGGTGGTGCAATCACAGCTTACTGCAGCCTCCAACTGCTGAGCTCAAGGAATCCTCCTGCCTCAGCCTCCTGACTAGCTGTGAATATATACACTTGCCACCATGCCTGGCTAATTTTTAAAATTATTTTTTGTAGAGATAGCATCTTGCTTGGTTGCCAGGCTGGTCTCAAACCTATGATCTCGAGCCTCAGCCTCCCAAAGTCCTAGGATTTATAGATGTGAGCCACCGAGTCTCGCCTAGACTGCTTTGAAGTGACTCTCCTGTCCAGTCCAGGAGGAAATCATCAAAGGCAAAGGCCACCACATGTCAAGTGTCACAGGAAATACAAGCTCTCTGATGATACATCTGCAAACTCACAGATCAGTCTCAGAATGTCATATCTGGAGGGGCCTCAGAGACTTATTCAACAAATACCAACATGGAGCTTGGGGAGGGTCAGATAATGTGCACGAAGAATCAGTTATCACTGTGATCAGCGCTAAATTCAGGGTGGGAGATGCATGTTTAGCAGGGTGACCTAATCTGATCTGGGAAGTCAGGTAAGAGTGAGACTTGAAGGGTGAGCAGAGCTGGAACAGGCAAAGGGCAGCGTGTATGAAGGCCCTGTGTAGCTGGAGGTACATGCCCAGGGGAAGGCCGGGGGTTGGAAGGGACAGGGCCTTACAGATCCAGGGTTTTGTGTCATGGACTTTGGGGGTTCCTAAGGTGTTGGCAAACCATGTGTGTTCATTTTTCTAGGAAGAGAGGTCTATGGCTTTACGGCTTTCACGAAAGTCTTAAGGAGGTTAAGAACTTAAGGAAGTCAAGAGGTTAAGAACTAATGAGCTAGCCCAGCTCATTATAATAAAATGGAGAAACTGAGGTCCAGAGAAAAAAGACCTTTCACAGGAGGCTAGAGGCCCCAAGACACCGACTCCCAGTGCAGTGCTCTCCCACAGCTAGCCCACCTCCCCAATTCTGCAGATGTGTCAATAACTACAAATGCTGACTCCCACTGGCCACTGCTGATGGATCCCACACGAGGCTGCTTCGTTTCTCTATCCAGGCAGACCTAGAATGACACTCTATAGAAATGAACTGCAAAGACACCCAGCCCATCTTTCTTGTACTAACCTAATCTGCAAAACACAGCGGCTCAGAACCTGTCCCTTGCTTCAAATTTCAAGGACCCCCAATGAGACAGCTTCTGGCTTTTCAAGGTCCTTCATGGATGAGGCTGGTTCACTGAAGGACAATCAGGGCTCAGCATCCAGCCTTCTGAAGAAGCTGTTTACTTGTTCTTCACAAAGTCAGGACTCGGCCAGGAACTAAACATAGCCCTCAGTATGGGAAAGGGAGAAATGTGGAAGACTTAGGGGAAAGTCTAAATATGTATAGAGAATGCTTCCTAAATCCCTGATATGGCCAGGCACTGTGGCTCATGCCTGTAAGCCCAGCACTTTAGGAGGCAGAGGCAGATAGATCACCTGAGCCCAGGAGTTTGAGACCTACCTGGACAACATGGCAAAACCCTTGTCCCTAAAAAACAAAGAAAAACATAACTAGCTAAGCATGGTGCTGCATGTGTCCGTAGTCCCAGCTACTCAGGGCATGGGGGGTGGGGGGCTGAGATGGGAGAATAATTGAGCCTGGGAGGCAGAGGTTGCAGTGGGCCAAGATTGCACCACTGCACTCCAGCCTGAGCGAAAGAGGCAGACCCTGTCTCAAAAACATAAATAAAAAATAAAAGCTCCTTGATGCTTCCTATAATACTAAAGGTGGAAGTCCTAAGTACATGGATTGGCATTCAAAGCCTTTTGGAGTCTGGCCCCAAACTACCTTTCCCACCTTTATCTCCTACTTCCTCCTAAGAAGACTGGACACTGTGCATAGCCCTGCAACTGCCTGCCTATGCTGTAGCTTACATCCCTCCTCTCCAGAGAGTCAAATGGAACCTAACAGCCAACATCCAGTGGACTCTCAAAGACAAGTGTTGAGGGTCCCACAACCTCTGCTTCACTTGGGCCATGACAGTATTGGAAGAGGCAATGCCTGCTGCGCGGGGGAAGACTCCAGCCCCTCTCCCCCCGACGCTGCCGACCTCAGCCTCCAGGCTGTGGTGCCTCCTGTCCTTTACAACTCCCCACCTCCAGATGAACTTGACCGAGCCACTCACTGCTGATGGCCCTCTGCACTGAGCTGCACGAGTGTGAACATGGTCACAGCCTGCACTCTGGCTGTGCTCCTCAAGCTTGTAAAATGTACCCGTCTCCCTTAAGAGGTCTGGAGTCCATACCCAATGGGTACTCACTATCCATTCAACAAAAATTAGTGAGCATCAGCTATGTGCCAGGCACCATTCAGGGCTCTGGTTAAACAGTAGCTGACAGGGAGCTTACCTCCCAATGAGGGAGAAAATCATAAAAAAGCAGCAAATAGGCCGGGCGCAGTGGCTCACACCTGTAATCCAAGCAACTCTGGGAGGCCAGGGCAGGCGGACTGCCTGAGCTCAGGAGTGTGAGAACAGTCTGGACAACATGGTGAAAACCTGTCTCTACTAAAAACACAAGATATTAGCCGGGCATGGTGGCATCTGCCTGTAATCCCAGCTACTCAGGAGGCTAAGGCAGGAGAATCGCTTGAACCCGGGTGCAGAGGTTGCAGTGAGCTGACACTGCATCACTGCACTCCAGCCTGGGGCAACAAAGCAAGACTGTCTCCAAAAAAAAATAAAAACGAAAACAAAAACAAGCAAATAAATGCTACATTTAAAGGGGGAAAAAGAGCAGGGTGAGGGACAGAAAGTGATGGCAGCCCTGTTTGTTATTCTGGGCCCAGTGGGTAGGGCTGGCCTCTCTGGGTGGCATCTGAACAGAGACATGAGGGAGTTGGGAAGCAAAGGACACAGGAAGAGGAGCTCATGCTTCCCCAGTGCTTACGATCCAGTACTGCCCAGCATGAACTCACCACAACCCTGCCACAGGATCCATCTTATCAATGAGAAACTGATTTTTAAAAGGAGGTGGGTGAGCAACTTTTCCCAAGGTCACATGATCAGCAAACGGTGGCACCAGCAGCCTTTGAATCCTGTCCATGGCTTCTCAGCAGGTGCCCTACAATATCTGGGGAATGAACGTTCCAGTAAGAGAATGGCAAGTGCCAAAGCTCTGAGGCCAGAGAACACCTGGAAGAAGAGCATACAAGCCAGTGTGGCTGGGACACAGCAACAGGGGAGAGGGGTGTTGGGGAGTGAGCCAAGGGCCGGGGGCCAGGGTGCATAAAGGCCATGTCAAGGACCTCAGATCTCTTCAGATGTGTGGGGAAGCCCTGGGCGATCATCATAAACAGGATCCATGTGATCCAGTTCATGCTTTGGCTGTGGAATGCAGAATGGACGGCTGTGAGTCGGGGGTAGAAACCAAAAAGCCAGTTAGGAGGGTACCAGGCAGTCTAGAGAGAAATGGTGGTGGCCTAGAGTAAGGGATCAGCAGAGGAGGTGCTGAGAGGGACCAGTCAGGATTTACCAGAGTAAATCACGGGAGATTACTGAGGGACTGGATGCGTGCTGGGAGAAGGAGGCAAGGACACTCTCTTGTTTTCTTATCCAAACCAAGATTTCTGAGCCTGAACAACTGGGTCAAAAATGGCATTATTTACTGTGATGGGGGAACCCAAGAGAAGTCGCCAGGCAGAGAGTGAAGGGGGGGAATCAAGAGCTCTTGTTCAGGCACATAGAGTCCTAAAGAGGGGCTGGAAACATGCATTTGAGAATGACCAGTGTTGAGCCAGCTGGCTTCGACCCACGGGACTAGACTGCCTGTTCCCAAATGGAGAATTCAGGAGAGAAAAGAGCCTGAAAAAGAGGGCTGAGATGAAGCCCTGTAAGAGCAATTATACTTTATGCTCTAAAATTACTCATGTAAGTACATCATGACTTCAGACAAAATTTAAATTTTAGAGGCTGTGGGGTTTTTGTTTGTTTGTTTGTTTGTTTTAGACAGGGTTTCACCATGTTGCCTAGGCTGGTCTTGAACTCCTGGGTTCAGGTGA